GACTGGCCCTGGGCTAACATCCATGCCCATCTTCCTCCACTTTATATGGGACGCCGCCACAGCATGGCTTGACAAGCGGTGCATTGGTGCGCACCCGGGATCCGAACTGGCGAACCCCGGGCCGCCACAGAGGAACGTGCGCACCCAACCGCTTGCGCCACTGGGCCGGCCCCGGTTCTCATTTTTTTGAGTGCTTACTGTGTGCATAGCACATAGTTAATGCTTCATGTACAATATTTGTTTAATCCTACAACTTTACGAGGTACTACTTTTATTTCTGTTTTCAGATGAGGAAAGTGAGGTTCAGAGAAATTACAAGTAATTTTTCCACAATTGCATAGCCAGGATTTGAATCTAGACAGTCTCACTCCAGAGCGTGTGCTGTAATGGGCTATAGTGTATATTCAGTCTGGTGACATTGTGTACTTGTCTGATCTGTACTGGCTCTCATCCTGAATAAGTGTCTTTTTGAGTAGCTGAACAAGATTGCAGGCTGTAGATTTCTCTAATCTATGTGTTGATCTACAGGTGAGCATGTTAGGGAAAGGATTTGGTGATGTTGGTGAAGCTAAAGGCGGCAGCACCACAGGCTCCCAGTTCTTAGAGCAATTCAAGACTGCTCAGGCCCTGGCTCAGTTGGCAGCTCAGCATTCTCAATCTGGAACCACCACCACCTCCTCTTGGGACATGGGCTCCACCACACAATCCCCGTCGCTGGTGCAGTATGGTGAGAAAGATGGAAAGTGATTTGAATTCTTTGAGCATTAGAGCATTACTGTCAAGAGAGTGGCAGGAGTGAGCGGGGAGAATGTGTCCTGAAGTGAGGAGAAGGGCAGCCAACTGGCTAGTTTCCCACACTGATTTCCCGTAGTTAGATAGGCTGAGTTCAGGAAGCTGGGGAATAATAAAAAGTTGAGGCTGGGGATGTCTTACATCAAATTTAGCCATATACATAGTTACAGTCTTCTGGTGACCTGGGGATTTTTTGGGTTCTCCCTAGATTTATCGTTAGTGTTTGAAAACAGCATATTGCCTTTGGAAACATTCATGGACTTGGCCATTTTAGGACCTTATACTCTAAACATGGACAGTTCCTAGATTCCTGTCTTACATAGGCAGGGTCATAGTGTTGATTCGATTAGGCTCTACTTGAGAACAAATATGATCCAGTGATTGTCACCTATATAAACGAGGTTAGGCCCTAAAAGAAGACCTTTTAGGTCTTCTGATTAGTTCTGATTCCTGAGGGCCTAATTCATGGCTCTAGAGCAGGATAATAGCGTTTTTTGCTGTTCATCAGCATCTCTGGCCTCATACATATTGGATTTCCTCGTGCAGATTTAAAGAACCCAAATGATTCAACAGTGCACAGCCCCTTTACAAAACGCCAGACTTTCACCCCATCTTCAACCATGATGGAGGTGTTCCTTCAGGAGAAGCCACCCGCAGTGGCTACCTCCACGGCTGCACCTCCACCTCCCTCTTCTCCTCTGCCAAGCAAATCCACCTCCGCTCCACAAATGTCTCCTGGGTCTTCAGACAACCAGTCCTCCAGCCCTCAGCCGGCCCAGCAAAAACTGAAACAGCAGAAGAAAAAAGCCTCCTTGACTTCTAAGGTACTTAAACTTTTAGATAGATATTATTTTAGGGCAGTGGGGTGTGGGATTTGGGATTAAGATTATAAGGGTATAGCTTGGAAATTTGAAGCAAAAGTTTTTTATTAGTTTTACAGTAAGGTTGCAATAAACCATTACTTTCTCTTCTCTACAGATTCCTGCTCTGGCTGTGGAGATGCCTGGCTCAGCAGATATCTCAGGGCTAAACCTGCAGTTTGGGGCGTTGCAGTTTGGGTCAGAGCCTGTCCTTTCTGATTATGAGTCCACCCCTACCACGAGCGCCTCTTCAAGCCAGGCTCCAAGTAGCCTCTATACCAGCACGGCCAGGTAGAGGAAATATCAGTCATAAGATTTATTTTATTAGGCTTTTACCACTTTTTCTAAATCTCATGCTGATTCCTAGAATTCTGGAGAGGCCAAGCCTCTGACTGAGTGAGGGGAAAGTAGCCAATTGTACCATTTTTTTGAGCATTTTAAAATACTGTTATGGGCCGGCCCCATAGCTTAGCGGTTAAGTGCTTGCGCTCCACTGCTGGCGGCCCAGGTTCGGATCCTGGGTGCGCACCGACGCACTGCTTCTCCGGCCATGCTGAGGCCGTGTCCCACATACAGAAACTAGAAGGATGTGCAGCTATGACATACAACTATGTACTGGGGCTTTGGGGGAAAAAATAAATAAATAAAATTATTAAAATACTGTTACTAGGACTACCTGTAACTCTCAACAGATAGAAATATACCCCTTGAGTACTAGAATGTCTAAGCACAGTTCTTAGAGATGTGTACAGCACCTCTAATGGAGAGTACCTTGGCATCTGCCATAGCTAAAAATGCTTTTGACACTTTTTAGCCTTTTGGTGTGGGACTTATGCCTTTGAAGGGTATAACTTTGAACTCCTAGGAAGGAAGTAGCATTGATATATTACACAAATCAATAGAACCTTTCCTACCTTCTCTGATAGCTATCAGGGAGGGCCATCTTAAGCAATAGAAAATCCTGGAGGAATTTCAAGGGACTAGGCTGTTTTTCTCAATCCTTAGAATTTAAAAATATAAATGTCTGGCCTTAGCCTAGGTCTCTTGAATCGTAATTGCCATTAATGCATGTGAATATTTTAAAAGTTCCTCTCAGGGGAGTTCTACCAGTAACCTTATATCTAATCGGCTTTTTGAGAGAGCCAGGAGCTCAGAACTCCTTAAAATGAATCTGAGGAAAAGATGACTTTTTCCATGCTTAGGGTTCACGTTATGATGTGTTGAAGGGACCAAGAGTAGTGTATCCTTTCTCCTGACCTTTAACCTCTTTTTCTTATGACAGCAGAACGTAGGGGAATATGAAATTTTTTCTCTTCCTTTAAGAGTTGAAAATGTTTTAAAACTCCATTCTTAGTTCAGATTCCTTGCTCTGTAGCATGTGGAAATTCCTACTGCTGTCAGGAGAAGATTGTGGCAGTTTGTTTTATTTGTTGCTAGAAATTTTCTTTTTGATTGTAATCAACTTACTTTAGTAGTAGATCTCTGTCGTTTCCTTAGAATCAGTGGATCTTCTCTGTTTTGTTTCTCTGAGATTTGCCTTCTCCATTCCCCACAGTGAATCTTCATCCACGATTTCATCTAACCAGAGTCAGGAGTCCGGTTATCAGAGTGGCCCAATTCAGTCGACAACCTATACCTCCCAAAATAATGCTCAGGGCCCTCTATATGAACAGAGATCCACACAGACTCGGCGGTACCCCAGCTCCATCTCTTCATCACCACAAAAGGACCTGACTCAGGCAAAGGTAGTGGCTTCATGAGCCCCAGGGCATTGGTTCGGAGAATAATGAGCAAAGTCCTTTAAATATTAGTGTTTTACTTCCTGACAAATTGTGCTAAGACACCTTGGAAATGCTGATTGAGAAGCTGAATAAAGCACATTTTTGTGGTTGATGAAATAAAAAAGTTCTTTTCAGCAAGCCTCGACACTCAGAGCCAGAAAACCATTCTGTTTGTACTGAAGATTCATTCTTTCTAGTAGCATCAGTTGTATGTACCTGTTTTCTCTTGGAAGATCTGATTGCTAGACTTCTGGGTGCATAGCACTAGACCTCACCTTGCTATGTGTTGGCTTGTTGAGGGGGACAGCATATGCCCAGAGGTGATGTGGAGTGACTGTCAGATGCAGCCAGCAGAATAGGTGGTTTGGCTGAACTGTGTTACTCCCACATCCTCCTCCAGGGATCACTGGATTTGGGTCTTCCCTGTACCTATTTTGGGTGTGGGATCTCTTCAGTAGTTTGAGGGTTGCCGCCTTTTGCCTTGAGTCACACAGGGTTGGTATATCTTGTTTTTATTGTTTTAATTTTTGTTACTTTGTTTGGGTGGTCTGCATTATGTTAATCTTTTGGTTAACTTGCAGAATTTCTCTGAAAGGTTTGTTGGTGGAAATTAAACTGAGACAGTGCTAACTTGACCTATTCACTTGAGTTTGTTTCTTACTCCTGTTTTGTACCAGAATGGCTTCAGTTCTGTGCAGGCCACGCAGTTACAGACCACGCAATCTGTTGAAGGTGAGTGTTCTCCAGGCTTTTTCCTCTGAGTTGTAGTGTTTTCCCTCCCCTTTTAATATTTTTGCATTTCTTAGATTGTAGTGAAAAGAGCCCTGGTTCAATGATCAAAACTTCTGGTTATAGTCTTAGCGTGGCTCTTCCTTGCTGTTTAATCTCAAACTATACTGAGTTTCAGGTTCTCTGTCTTAAAACAGTGATAATCCTCTTGATTGGACAAATGAGATGAGTGCTGTGAAATGGTTGGAATTTAAAAAAGAAAAGATTCCACTTAAACACAGTTCATCACTAAATAACTCACTCTTGTCTTGGGGACACCCTAGGACTGTGGTCACCTCTTCGTTTCTTATAGACATTTCCTTTCCTCTGATGAGGTGAATTCCTTTCTTTATTTCCAGGTGCTACAGGCTCTGCAGTGAAATCTGACTCACCTTCCACTTCTAGCATCCCCCCTCTCAGTGAAACGGTATCTGCAGCTTCCTTACTGACGACAACCAATCAGCACTCCTCCTCGTTGGGTGGCTTGAGCCACAGTGAGGAGATTCCAAATACTACCACCACACAACACAACAGGTGATTTGGGGTGAGAGTGGAGCATGGGGTTGGTGAGTAGCCATAACAGAGCTCTCTGGTTCTGTCTTACATTCTACCTGGCAGAGACCACATGAGCTAAGCGGATGACCTAAAAGCTATGAGAAGTAAAAACAGAGGAGGCTTATTTTCCCTTTTCAACCTCCATTCCTGCTTTAACTGCTCACTACCCGTGGCTGGCCGTTGTGCTTATCATATGATGTCAGATCTCCTTGGTCTCATATTCTGCCTTATTTCCCTGTCTATATTTTTGACTGAAGCTCCATGTCAGGTAACCATAGCACTGTGGCTGATGGCAACCTCTTTTTCCTTACAGCACGTTATCTACTCAGCAGAATACCCTTTCATCATCAACATCTTCTGGGCGCACTTCAACATCCACTCTTTTGGTAAGCATGATGCTGTAAAAGTGGAAGTGTGGTTTTCTTATACTTACAACTATCCAACTATAAGATTCTCCCAAGAAAGGATTCTTGAAAATTTTTTCATGACCTGGCAAAATGATAATTGATCTGAGGTTGCAAGGAAGGAGTAAAAGGATGTTTAAAGCCAAGAGAGACAGAAAAATCCAGAAATATTGCAGAGCTGTGGGCCAGTTCTCAAAAGCCTGGAAGTGACTTTCCTGAATCTTTACGTGACTTTTTTTTTAAACACTGAAGCTGGGTGCAGCTTTGTATGCTATGATAAATTCTGTAAGATCATCCCTTTCTAACTTGTATAGCCATTCTCATTCCTTGGTCTGAGGTACGCTGAACATGAGTCCTGAAAATAATCAATGTGAGTTTGGGCATCCTATGAAAGTAGAGGCCAGATGAGAGCTTTTGGTCGAAGAATTAATTTCACTGTTGTCATTTGTAACAACTATTTGTGAAATTAAGCTGAGATGGTAAGGAAGACAACTAACTTAAAAAGGAACCATTTTAGGCAAAGGTGTGTGGTTTGCCAGAAACTGAGGGAGGATAATGAGGGCTAAGGCTTTCTTAGGAGCCTCTCTTTTCTCAAATACACTATTTCAGTTTGAAGTTCGTTAGAACTTGTACTTCTAGCCCATCAACTGGCTTCTTGTGCTGAACTAGTGAAGAAGAGTGGGAGAGAAGGCTATGATATATTTTTCAGATCTAAAGTATCTCTGTCTCCTTACTGCCAACCAGTGTTGGTTTCTGGGGAGTTTGTCCCCACTCACTCTGCTGCTTTTCTGAATAGGGTGATGATGTGTAGTGAGTCTGTTGTAATTCCTATCAGATAAATCTTGGGGAATGTATAGCTGGAGAATATTTAGTAATTTCTTCCAATTAGTTTGGCAGAGGGCACCCTGGTACCCTGCCTCAGCCTTTTTATTTGGGAAGTTGACATGGTGATATAATCAGCAGAAGGGATTGTTTATCTTTCCTGAACTCTTATGATGCTAATCACTGTTGCCTCCTTCTCTGTTGCACTGCTCCCCCTTTTTGAAGCACACAAGCGTGGAGAGTGAGGCGAATCTCCATTCTTCCTCCAGCACTTTCTCCACCACGTCCAGTACAGTCTCTGCACCTCCCCCAGTGGTCAGTGTCTCCTCCAGTCTCAATAGTGGCAGTAGCTTGGGCCTCAGCCTAGGCAGCAACTCCACCGTCACAGCCTCGACTCGAAGCTCAGTTGCTACGACTTCAGGTAGCCCTATGTGTAGACGGTAGACGGCATTCCTTTGGGATGGAGAAGAGAAGTAATTGGGTGACAGGATAAAAATGTACTTTCTCTTTTAGGAAAAGCTCCTCCCAACCTCCCTCCTGGGGTCCCGCCATTGTTGCCTAATCCGTATATTATGGCTCCAGGGCTGTTACATGCCTACCCGGTAAGTGAGACTGAAGGGTCTTCTCTAAAAGATGAAGATGATCTGGCTACTCTTTATAGCTCTGGCTTCCAGTGGAAGACTATAATTAAAATGCAGAATGAAGAATCAGTTGTCATATGTAAGCAAACAGATTTTTAATGTTTGTAGTTTTGTGAAAAATAACAGTTTTTAGTGAGGAAGGACTGAACTGAGGCCAGGCCCTCTGTTGTGTATTTGCTCTGTGTGAAACACAAATTCTGGACCTTAGAAGCCAAAGGCCAGACTGTCCACCTGGAGTCCCTTTCAATTTCTTAGAGAAGTATTTTCTCTAGTTGGATTGATTCCTTATCTCGGAGGGTCCTTCCTGGCCCTGACCTGGTCAGAGCAGAGTTCCCTGACTCCATCTGGGACTATCTGAGAATAGGTGGCTGATAGTAGTAGCTTGTTGCCCTGGTGTATCTTCTATCAGCTTTGTGTATTCATTGCCTATTAAGATGAAGGAGAAAAGACACCTGTTCTTGCCCTCGAGAGTCTAGGTGAATATCATACAGATGAAACATCCAATAGCACTTTACACATTTTTTTTTTTTTTTTTTTTTTATGAGGAGATCAGCCCTGTGCTAACATCTGCCAGTCCTCCTCTTTTTTTGCTGAGGAAGACTGGCCCTGGGCTAACATCTGTGCCCATCTTCCTCCACTTTATATGGGACGCCGCCACAGCATGGCTTGCCAGGCAGCGCGTCGGTGCGCGCCCGGGATCCGGACCGGTGAACCCCGGGCCACTCCAGCGGAGCACGCGCACTTAACCGCTTGCGCCATTGGGCTGGCCCTGACTTTACACATCTTTTAACGATAACACACTACCTTAGTACCCAGACATCAGAGAAAACAAGTAAAATGTGGATCTTTTCTGAAGGAGATAAATTTTAAGCCATATTTTGAAGGCTTATGTAAGAGACAAAGACTGGCAGGATAGAGAGTAAAGCAGGCTGTTCATGTATGACTTGTGTCTGCTCTGCTGCTTCCCAGAGGCCAGCCTAGTTGAATTAGTAGTATGTAGCTCAAGGAAAACTTTAAGACTTTTCATGAGTCACTTAATCTCTTTCTACTTTACTTCTTTCCTTTTAAAGAAAACTGAAGGAAATAGTCTATGTCCTCTTCTTCCAAGGAATGAGGAAGAGTGTTCTGTTGATTTATCTTGTCTCTTAGCTCGTTGGTTTACTACCATCATGACCAGTCCCCGTTAATATTATTACATGTCTATATCTTTCAGCCACAAGTATATGGTTATGATGACTTGCAGATGCTTCAGACAAGATTTCCATTGGTGAGTATGTGGTGTAGAGCTTAGGATAAGAAAGTGATCTTAAAATTATTGTCGGGGATTATTTCAGATGTTTAGTTGATAAGTCACAGACTTAGCTCTTTCCCAACCCATACTTTGATTTAAGATATATTAGAATATAGAGGCTTGGGGAGTGGTTCTAACAGAAGGTAACTTTTTTTTTTTTTTTAAATGAGAGTTGCGGTGTCTTTAAACAAATTTTAACCTAATCTATAACTCAGAGTACTCTGGAGCAGGATCCTTTCTCTGTGTTTCAAACACTTTACTTTCCAGATAGAAGATTTATTTTTTCATTAGTAGTAGACTATTAGGGATAATATTTAGAGGTTTCAGAATATCATTGGTGCTGATGGACTTGATGTCCATCTGGTTCTAGGGGGCATACCCGTAGACCTTGCCTGACTGTGCTCATGGCCAGGCAGGGGGGACAGTGTGTGCGAGAGTAATTTGGAGTTCTTGCCAACTCTAGCCAGCTTAATAAGTGGCTGGATAAATTGCAGTACTCCAACATTCTCCTGCTTCTCACCCTGTGGAGTTACTCCTGCTGGGGAACAAGTGGCATTTAGTCTGTGCTCTTTTATTTCTCTGCTTTTTTTGTGTGTGTGTGAGGAAGATCAGCCCTGAGCTAACATCCGTGCTAATCCTGCTCTTTTTTTTGCTGAGAAAGACTGGCCCTGGGCTAACATTTGTGCCCATCTTCCTCCACTTTGTATGGGACGCCGCCACAGCATGGCTTGACAAGCGGTGCCTCGGTGCACGCCTGGGATCCGAACCCGGGCCACCACAGTGGAGCCGCGCACACTTAACCAGTACGCCACGGGCCGGCCCCTTATTTCTCTGCTTTTTTGTTTCTCTCTTCTAGGATTACTACAGCATCCCATTTCCCACACCTACCACTCCACTGACTGGGAGGGATGGTAGCCTGGCCAGCAACCCTTATTCTGGTAGGACTGCGATGGGGCTGAATAAAGGGAGATTGTTTTGGGATTGGTGGCAAAAACCTGATGAGTAGCAGGAAAGGACCCAGTTTTCACTTGATTTAAGATTTTTAGCAAAAGTATAGAATGGATATGATGAATCAGAGTTGGTAGATTCGAAATCCTGCTAAAGACGGGCATGTGGCAACTTTTTCCTTCTCATTCCACTTTCTATTTGTCTTTCTGTGATTCCAGATGATGTCTTGACTTGGTTTATGCAGCTTTTACCAGGAAGTACAGTGGTTGAACTGGCCTTCCTCTGCTTATCTCTGCTCCTGTACCCTACTTACAGTGGCAGTCTCATTGTCTTGTTAGGCCATGGGCCTTCTTTTTTTGCCTGACCTGTTGTTGTCCTCATTGACCTGTCATTTTCCCTGACCTATCATTGTTTTTTGAGTCCAGCATGGAGTGTTCCTCATGGAGGAGAAGGGAGGAGAGGAAGTGGTGGGGAGATGAAAACACATGAGTGAACAGAGAAATTAAGCAGGAGCTTTATTCTGGGAGCCTGTCTCTGCCACAGCGTCGCACAGTCATTCAGCATTAGCCCTTGACTAGCACTGAGCTAAGCGTGTGCTGAGCAATGCTAAATGAAACCGCCAAGAAATGTAATTCAAAGAATTGAACTTTAAAGTCTTTGAACAGGAGCTCCTGGAATCATGTGAAACCAGAAGAGGTAATTCTGCATTGGTGTTGGGGGGTGAAAGAGGCAGGTACATTTAGCCCCTCCTGTCACAGGTGACCTCACAAAGTTTGGCCGTGGGGATGCCTCTTCCCCGGCCCCGGCCACAACCTTGGCCCAACCCCAACAGAACCAGACGCAGACTCACCACACCACGCAGCAGACATTCCTGAACCCGGCGCTGCCTCCTGGCTACAGTTACACCAGCCTGCCATACTACACAGGGGTTCCGGGCCTCCCCAGCACCTTCCAGTATGGGCCTGCTGTGTTCCCTGTGAGTACCTGGGCTTGGTCTTTCCTTGTGGTGAGGAATCCTAGCCCTGGATACTATCCTAGTTGCTTTCAAGGCTAGATGACTTTTTAATAATGGATGAGGAGGAATAATGTCCACCTCTGGCCTGTTTCTGGCTTGGGAGAGGGAGTGGGGCTGGAATTGGTGGTATGGGGATAGGGATTACCTGTTCTTAGAATTAGCTAAAGGGATAATGTGATACCATGCAGCTTTGATTCCCTTAGAGTGTCATTCATTCCCTGCTACCACTGCCCCTTTCTCTTCCTCCAAACTACCATTTCTTGACCTCACTGGTAGATTTTAGAAGGCTCAGTAGGGAGGCCATTTCACTAAGCAAGCTGTGGTCAGCCTACATCAGGGTGGGTAGCCATCTGAATGCCCGATCCCTGGAGTAGGACGGGTGGGGTGAATTGTACCCTGCTACCGTTTCACTGCAGTTCTGGCCTTTTTGCTCTTCAGGTGGCTCCTACCTCTTCCAAGCAGCATGGTGTGAATGTCAGTGTGAATGCATCGGCCACCCCTTTCCAACAGCCAAGTGGATATGGGTCTCACGGATACAACACTGGTAAGCTCACCTTGGCTGTCAGTGGTGTCTGTAGGATGTTATTAAATGAGTTTCAGAGAGGAAGACTTGGTGCTTGAGAAAATAGGGTTGGTGAGGGTGCGCTGATGCTTCATGTTTGATTGTTAATGTTTGACTGACTTGAGTGTCTGTCTGAGCAGCAACAACAGAGGAGCTTGATACTAGAACATGTATCCACTACTCTTGATGGGAATGCCCTGGGGCACATGTTGGTTATTAGAATACGTTGGCTGGCCTAAACTGGGTGGGAAGCAGGGCAAGGAGCCCCAAGATTTTACTGAGATGTCAATGGAGGCAAGTGTTAATATATAAGGTACTGATAGTGTAAAGGTGAATATATTTACTGAATAGGAGGGTTAAGTGGGTTCTTAGCTAGCATGCCATAGTAGGTTTGGCTTAAATAATTTTGTAGCACTATGTTTCTTACGTGGCCCCTTTTTACTCCCTAGCTAGAAGACCTAAGATGTGGAGAGAAAGGAGTAAGGCATGAGTACTCAACAGAGTGAGAGTTGGGCTGGGAGAGTTGGATATTTCGGTTCCTTAATTTGTATGGCTGGTCTCTTTGCAAAAGTCCATTTGCACATTGATGGTAGGGAGGGGAATGTAGGAATCCTCTGAATGGTACTGACCTAAAAGATACTTAGCCTCTCCTTTGCCTCCCATATCTGACACCTACTCTCTATTTGTGGAGGACAAGGAGTAAGAAAGAGTCTTTGAATAAAACAATTACGTCTACTTTTTTCAGTGACTTGTAGATGAATATGGGGAGGAGGAGGTTGCAATTGCTAGGGCTTGGGGTTGAAGGTTATCCTTCAAAATTCTCAGCTGTTCTGGTTTCCTGGTGGTTTGGATGGAGCTGCACCTGTATTCTTCACCCTAGTGTGGGCTCCAGGTGGGTATATCGCCCAAGGTTTTCAATAATTGGGAAACTGAGCTGAGCACAGAGAGCCACAGGTCTGGGAACTAACAGCCACGTGGAGCTTTGAACTGTGCTGTATGACTTAGAGTGGGTCAGGATTTCAGCTAAAGAAATCCTGAGACACCCCATTGAGATTTAATACCTAGACTCCTTGTGGCTCATTGAGCAAGATCCACCCTAATTCTTGGTGGGGAGGATTATAAGCTTTTTGACTTGGAGTGGCCCCATTCTGAGAATATTAGATTAAATCTTAGCTAGACCAGGTTCAAGAATTTTAAGAGGTAGGTGATGGATAATATAAGAGAATGGCATACCTGATTCTGGAAATCCTAGCTTCTTACCTCCCTTAAGATTTCAGAAACCTGGTATAACAGCCCTTTGAGAACCCCCAGTTCCCAGTCCCACAGAGGGCTCTTGTTATCCCATTCCTCATCAACCTCTAAATTCATTTATTTTTATGTATTTGATTCCTTTTAGGAAGAAAATATCCACCCCCTTACAAGCATTTCTGGACGGCAGAGAGCTAATTTGGCCCAAGGCTGGGGGCTATGTTTTGTGTGTGTGTATAAATTTGCACTGAAGTCTTGTTTCAGAAACCAGACCACTGAGGAGAGCCTGCTGAGCTGAGGCCATGGCCTGCGTGGCTTGGGGAAATGAGTTGGTGGATATCTTCTGGGCTTTTGAACTTGCCCTTCCCCCATTTCCCTCTCCCCCATGTGTCTGACCCTGTCTTACCCATTTCAAGTTCAAGCGGTGCAGCACCTCCGAAGCATCAATGCACACACCTGCTGTTGCTTTTGATTTCTGGAAGGCATGTAGTTTCAACTTGTAACAAAAATATTTGTAGTCTTCAATAAACTGTGGTATTTCTTTAGCTAACTCTGGCGTTCTTTCCGTGCATGTCTTTCTGGACACTAGGAGCCAATGTTGTGCTGTGGATGAAGGGTGGAGGGTGGCCTTTTCAGTCAAACCCCAGCATAGTCAAAGAACTGTTAACTTTTCAGTAAGGTGATTTTATTAAGGTGGGGGAGGGGAAACAGTCTCAGTTTCCAGCCTGTTGATTGGTTGGTAAAGAAAGCTATTTGTAGAAAATCCCTGATTCTCCATGCTTATTATAGCTCTTCACTTTTCCATTTAGATCTTCCCCTTGCCTCTGACATAAGCAGAGGAGAAAGGACAAAAAAGTTTATTGAGTGTCATGTCTGGTGAAAGGCAGAAGAGATGATGTTTAGAGCTGTTGTCAGGGAAGTATCTTCCAAGGCTTAATTCCCATATCTTGTTCCCCAAGGCCAAGTGGCTGATTGAGATCTGATAAAGTCTTTAGTGACCAGCTAGTTGATGATGCAGGCTGTGGAAACTGTGCTAGCCTGGAACATTGTTCTTAGTCTCTTGATGGCTTTTCAGGGATTGTGGATTACTAGTCATTTTGTACTTGTAGGTGTAGCTAAGAATGTGTGGGAGAGGTTTGGTTAGACATCTCCTTGACTATGGAAATTCTTATCCCCACTCAATCCCACTAGTACACCATCAGCCCTTTGTTTACAGTGTTAACTGTAAGACAGTAGGAATGGTGAGACAGTGAGAACACTGTCCTTGGTTAATTGGAAACCCAGGCATTCCACTTTCTTTGTATTTGTTCCCAGCCCTCTGGAGTAATTTTATCCTGTGAGTGTGACCAACTTTCCCAGCGGCTGCCATGCTGGGAGAGATGGGTTCTTATTTCTCCTCCCTGCTGTCCACATCATGGTTAGTATGATCATCACTGCTTGGGAGTGAGGGATAGACAGGGTGCTGACTGTTGGAAGGAAGGCAAGAGAACTCTGTAATCTGAGGAGCTGTCTAATAACTGCTGAAAGATAGGTAGGAAAACTAAGACCCATTATTTTCTAGGCTCTCCAGTGCTTATACTGAGGCTATCTATTACAGCTACTACACAGAGTATTCTCTTTTTTCCTGCATTTCCAGTCCCTTCAACCCATATCCAAATTAAGGCTTCGAGACTTAGACGCTAGTTTTTAGCTAGTCTAGCCTCTGGAAAGAAATGAGACCAGATAGGGGCACATCAGAACTAAATTCCTCTCTACCACCCAGCTTGAGAATCCAGTTAGCCATTTCTCCCATCCTGTATGGGATGACCAAGAGGTGTCAGCAAGCTGTTTGACCCTTTGCAGTAAAGATCAATCACTGTCTCCTGGTTTCCCTCAAAAATGTTCTGTTTATATCCTGTGTATTCCATCTTACTCTCAACCCTTCCACAAAAACCTCATTAGTTTAGCCTTTTCCATAAATGAACTCCTGTTCTTAAAGTTATGCCTATTACCAGTGATTTGCCAGATGGGCACCTGGGGTTTGAAAAGGGAAGGGGAAAAAATACCCCATTAGCTCCTGTATTGTCCCCTTCTTTGTACTTCACTGCCTTTAAAGTATAGAGAGTTGATAGTTTGGAGATGGGGAAGTATTTTATCAAGCTTGCTTTCTGTAGTTCTGTTCTTTTTCCTAGTTGGTGTTTGCTCCTCCCTGGAACTATCTGGACTTGTGATGTGGGAGGGGTTTCCAGGTTAAGATGCCACTTCTATTGGGAAGATTCTAAACTGGCTGTCCAAGGTGGGCTTAACTTTTGAAGGCTGCCTTTGTCCTAGACATTCGGAGGATTTGGGTTGTAGAGTTTGAAGGGGGATTGCTGTTGAATTGTGGGTGAATGGAGAATTCCTCATTTGTGATTTGGTTACTTTAGTACAGAGTTTCTAAAGAACTCTTCCATTGTAGTGTTCCTAACAGCAGAAGAGAAGGATCCAAGGACATAGACTGAAATGCGAAGTTTTTCTGAAGTTTCATTTTATCTCACTTCATGAGAACTAATATCTTTAAAAAGCATGCTTAAATTCCTAGTTAAATTTGAGTTACTTTTCCTCAAATCTTTGCATAAGATTTCTCTAGTAAGATGCTGGATTATTTTACCTGATGGCTTTTTCCTACCTCCTTGACCCACTGCCCCATACCCCAGGAGGTACAGTATGTTTATTTCAGTTTAAGAAGTACAAATTAAAATGAGGAATTGTACTACTCTGGTTTCCTTAAAGTTGTGGTAGTAGGGACTTTATCAACAGGAAACATGCAAGTTGTTGGAGTATGGATTAGAGCTTTTTTTTTTTTTTTTTTTTTAAAGTTTTTTTTTTTTTTTTTTTTCCCCCCAAAGCCCCAGTGGATAGTTGTATGTCGTAGCTGCACATCCTTCTAGTTGCTGTATGCGGGACTCGGCCTCAGGATGAACGGAGAAGTGGTGCCTCGATGCGCACCCGGGATCCGAACCTGGGCCACCAGCATCGCAGCGCGCTCACTTAACCACCAAGCCACAGGGCCGGCCCTGGATTAGAGCTTTTATCTCATGGAGAAGCTGAATTGTAAACTAGAATGACATTTGGATTTTGTATTCCACCTATGCTGTAGAGATAGCCTACCCTTGTCTACCTTCTTTACTCCCTCTCCTTCCCATGCTTAGACTTAAATTACGTAAATGGAAACTCATCTTTGTGTCAGCTCTTTAAATCATAAGTATATAGCCTAGAAGCTCCAAGACTCTGGAGAAGCTGGACTAAGTGAGATGAGGCTCTGAGAATAAAAGTGCTCTTGAGGGTTGAATTGGACTGCTCCTCTAGTACTTACCTTATGCTGTGGAGGGATGGATTTTGAGCCCCCAGATGTCTCTTCATAAACAGAAAGAGCCAGACTACCTGTCTTCAGGAGCAGGACTGAGTGGAGTTTGGGCAGATTGATTTGAAATGGACATTAAAAGTTTAATACATTCTGTTGGGCTTTAGCACAGAAGTATTTTGAAAACTGTATGCTTGTGAGGTTTGGCTAAATCCGCCCCACCCCCCC